CTTCTGTGGTCCCCCTTCCCCAGACAAAAATAAAAAAGGAAAAAGGAAAGGGGAAGCCATTGTTCAGGGCCGGTAAAGGGTTTATCTAGCTTTGTGGTGTAAAAGAACCCATAATACTTAATAAATTTAATAATATTTAACAATATTTAATAAATTTAATAAATGTATTAATATTTAACAATATTTAATGGATTTAATAAATGTATTAATATTTAGCAATATTTAATAAAATTAATCCATTGTCTAGTCCTTACATCAAAACACCAAGGACAACTAGGCCCTCCTACCTCCTCGTAACTTCAACTAGATAAATGCAAACATGTTGGCTCACGCCTGTAATCCCAGCATTTTGTTGTTTTTTCTTCTTCTTTTTTTGAGCCCGAGTCTCATTCTGTCACCCAGGCTGGAGTGCAGTGGCGTAATCCCAAATCACTGCAACCTCCGCCTCCAGGTTCGAGCGATTCTCCTGCCTCAATCTCCTGAGTAGCTGGGACTGCGGGCACATGCCGACATGCCTGGCTAATTTTTTGTATTTTTAGTAGAGACAGTGTTTCACCATGTTGCCCAAGCTGGTGTCGAACTCTGAGCTCAGGTGATCCACCTGCCTTGGCCTCCCAAAGTGCCGGGATTATAGGCGTGAGCCACTATATTTGGCAATCCCAGCACTTTGGACTGTCAAGGTAAGAAGATCACTTGAGTCCAGGAGTTCAAGACCAGTCTGGGCAACATGGGGAGACACTGTCTCTACAAAAATAAAAAAATTAGCTGGGCTTGCTGGCATATACCTGTGATCCCACACTCACTTGGGAGGCTGAGGTGAGAGGATCACTTGAGCCTAGAAGGTTGAGGCTGCAGTGAGCTATGATTCTGCCACTCGACTCCAGCCCAGACAACAGGATGAGACCTTGTCTCTTAAAAAGATAGGCAAGGCATGGTGGCTCACGCCTGTAATGGAGCCCTTTGGGAGGCCAAGGTGGGCGGATCACAACCACCCTGACTAAGACAGTGAAACCCCGTCTCTACTAAAAATACAAAAAATTAGCCGGGTGTGGTGGCGGGCACCTATAGTCCCAGCTACTGAGGAGGATGAGGCAGGAGAATGGCATGAACCTGGGAGGCGGAGCTTCCGGTGAGCCGAGATCACAACACTGCACTCCAGTCTGGGCGACAGAGCGAGACTCCATCTTAAAATAAAATAAGATAAAATAAAAATAAAATAAAATAAAATGATAAATGCAAATTTGAATCACCTACAGGGTTAAAAGGCCACAAATGTTCCAATGTTAGCAGGGAGACTAGGATGGAAGAAGCCTCCACAGCTGCCCCCGTCAACCCAACTAAGAGAAAGAGGTTGGCGGTCAGAGGAACAGGTAAGGCAAGCCTTCATCTGAGCCCATCAGCTTCTGCAGAAAAAATATTCCATGATCATGGGATGACCTGACTGACTGATGCAAACTGTCCACACAGCTAGTTTGTCTTTGCCTCCTCTCTAGATCCAAAATGTATTGGAAATTAATGCCATAAGAGACCTATTGCTGCCCTCCTCATCATACACCCTTTATAGGAGAGCTCACACGAGCTGATGACTCTGGAATTCTGGTTACCATCAATCTAGATATCATGCCACTGGGCTCTATCTTTCCAACTACCTTTTAGACATCTCTACCTGGATGTCCTGAGCATCTTGTGTCCAAAGATGAATTCCTTCTCCCTGGCAATGTATGTTCTCTGTATTTCCACTTTCCCTGTCTCAATTAATGGCATTGCCATGCACCAAGATACCTGAACCAGAAACCTGAAGGGCATCCTACAGTCCTCCTTCTGCCCTCCTCCTATTTCTAGTCACCGTGTCCACAATAAGCTGTCCTGATATTTTACCTCCTAAATATCTCTCAAAACCTCACTTCCCTTTCATATGCACTGGCACCCTCTATCAGCATCTCATCACTCATTCAACAATATTTAATGAGTATAAAGCATAGCTAGGTGTTTTTAAACAGAATAAAAACAGTGTGATCTTTGTTTTCTGGTGGCTCAACATCTAGTTGTTGTTTTTTTTTTTTTTCGAGATGGAGTCTCGCTCTGTTGCCCAGGCTGGAGTGCGGTGGCGCGATCTCGGCTCACTGCAATCTCCACCTCCCAGGTTCACGCCATTCTCCTGCCTCAGGCTCCCGAGTAGCTGGGACAACAGGTGCCTGCCTCCGCGCCCGGCTAATTTTTTGTATTTTTTTTTTTATTAGAGACGGGGTTTCACCGTGTCAGCCAGGATGGTCTCGATCGCCTGACCTCGTGATCCGCCCGCCTCGGCTTCCCAAAGTGCTGGGATTACAGGCGTGAGCCACCGCGCCCGGCCAAGTTGTTTTTTTCTTTTTTTTTTTTTTTCCTGAGATGGAATGTTGCTCTGTCGCCCAAGCTGGAGTACAGTGACGTGATCTCAGCTCACTGCAACTTCCGTCTCCCAGATTCAAGCAATTCTCCTGCCTCAGCCTCCCAAGTAGCTGGGATTACAGCTACGCACCACCACACCTGGCTACTTTTTGTATTTTTAGTAGAGACAGGATTTCACCATGGGGGCCAGGCTGGTTTCGAACTGCTGACCTCGTGATCCACCCACCTCACCCTCCCAAAGTGTTAGGATTACAGGCGTGAGCCATCTCTTATCATTCATTCCCTAAACAACACCCAGAGTGTCTCCTCAAAACTTAAATTAGGCCAGGCGCGGTGGCTCAAGCCTGTAATCCCAGCACTTTGGGAGGCCGAGATGGGCAGATCACAAGGTCAGGAGATCGAGACCATCCTGGCTAATACGGTGAAACCCTGTCTCTAATAAAAAATACAAAAAACTAGCTGGGCGAGGTGGCGGGCGCCTGTAGTCCCAGCTATTCGGGAGGCTGAGGCAGGAGAATGGCATAAAGCCAGGAGGCAGAGCTTGCAGTGAGCTGAGATCTGGCCACTGCACTCCAGCCTGGGTGACAGAGCAAGACTCTGTCTCAAAAAAAAAAACCAAAAACTTAAATTAGATCATTTAATTCAGGGGTCAGTAAACTTTTTCTACACAAACCAGATAGTAAACATTTTAGGCTTCTGGGCCATATGTGCTCTGTTGAAACTACTCAACTCTGCTCTTGTAACATTAAAACAGCCATGGACAATATGTAAATCCATGGGTGACACTGTGTTCCAATATGGTTTATTCATAAAAATAGGCACCAGGCCAGATTTGACCCATGGGTTGCAGTTTGCCGACCCCTGATGTAATTGCAGTGCTTCCTACTCCATTGGAATTAATCCAGAATCCTTTCCATGGCCTAGAAGGTGCTCCATCCTCATCTGAGTATTACTTGCTCCTCCAGGCTCCACTATGCTCCAGCCACCCTGACCATCTCTGTGGTGCTTAAACACCGTGCCAAGTCTGTTCTCATCTCAGGTCCCTGCAGTTGACATTCTACCCATCAGGACCACTCTTGCCCAGATCTTCTTTGAGCTGCCTCAGCTCAAATGTCACCTCCTCAGAGAGGTCTTCACTGCCCACCCCAATAGGTCAGTGCCCATCCCAATGCCCAAACTTTCTAACTCCCAAAGCTCTATTTATTTTCTTCAAATTACTTATCACCATCTGAAAACATATCATTTGTTGCATGTATATAGTCTCCTTTCCCACCACCACACCACCACTAGAACAGAAGGTCCCCGAGAACAGAGACTGTCTTACTCATTCTCCCCTAAGTTCCCAGCACCTAGATCTGTGCCTGGCACTTAGTAGGGGCTCAAAAAATACCTGTTCTCTAAACTGTTATTGCCTCTAGTCTCACTCCCTCCAACTCACTGGTATCCTCACTACCACTAGTGATCTTTCGAAAACACAAATGGGGCCAAATATGGTGGCTCATGCCTGTAATAGCAGCATCTTGGGAGACTGAAGTGAGAGGATCCCGTGAACCCAGGAGGGTCAGGCTGCAGTGAGCCATGATCATGCCACTGCACTCCAGCCTGGGATACAGAGGGAGACCCTGTCTCAAAAAAAAAAAAAAAAAGAAAAATTAGCACTGTATGGTGGTGCACACCTGTAGTCCCTACTACTTGAGTGACTGAGGCAAGAGGATCCCTGGGCCCAGGCGTCTGAGGTTACAGTGAGCTATGATTGTGCCACTGCATTCAAGCCTGGGCAACAGAACAAGACTCTGTCTCAAAAAAAAAAAAAAAGAAAAAGTGGGCTGGTAACAGTGACTCATGCCTGTAATCCCAGAGTTTAGTACCTCTTTTTAGCCTTTTAATTTCTGAAAAGCAGGAGGGCAGAAAAGATCAGTCAAATTAAACACAACAGCAGGGAGGCCACAATGAGGAGGTCTCCAAGGGTCTTTTAGCAAACTTCCTAAAACATGTCTCAGCTGTGTGGAAATAAGATTTTACAGTTGCGGTGGTGCGACCCGTAATCCTAGCACTTCAGGAGCAGAAGCGGGGCAGATCACTTCAAGCTAAGGGAAACATAGAGGAAACCCCCGTCCCCTCCCCCTCCCCCAGTCCCACCCCGGTCTCTACCAAAAACACAAAACTTAGCCAGGCCTGGTAGCAGGCGCCTGTAGTCCCAGCTACTCAGGAGGCTAAGGCAGGAGAACTGCTTGAACCCAGGAGGCAGATGTTGCAGTAGGCTGAGACCGCACCACTACCAGCCTGGATGACAGAACAAGACTCCGTCTCAAAAAAGAAAAAAAACAAAGAAAAACAAAACACAAGGTTAAGAGAGACCTCAAACCTTACAGATACAAGTTTAACAGGGACCCCAAAGCAAAAAATCCCAACCTTTTTTCTCCCAATCATTGAAACACCAGGAGGGTATAATAGTTTTGCAGCCTAGCTGTAGCAGGCTGATGCCCACAAGATGCCCATATCCTAATTCCGGGAACCGGTGAACATGACCTTACACAGCAAAAGGGGCTTTGCAAGTATAATGAAGTTAAGGGTCTTTGGCCAGCTTGTCCCTGCAGGGTTTATGTACTCACCTGGATCCTCATAAGAGCAGAGCAGGTGATGGAGAGCGGAGGGAGGTGTAGCGATGAAAGCAGGAAACTCGCGTCACTGGAGAAGGGCAGCACAAGCTGAGGAGAGCAGGCCGCCTCCGGGGCCAGGAAATGGAATCTCCCGCAGAGCCTGGGAAGGCACTGACCCTGCTCCCATCTTGACTCCGTGGGACTGACTTTAGAATTCTGGCCTTCAGAACTGTAAGGGAATACCTCCGTGCTGTTTTAAGCCACTAAGTGTGTGGTAATTTGTTGCAGCAGCAATGGGGAACCAGTATTGTAGTGAAGCCTCAAAACCCACCTGAAGGGGCCAGGCGCAGCAGCTCACATCTGTAATCCCAGCACTTTGGGAAGCCGAGGTGGGCGGATCACTTGAGGTCAGGAATTCCAGACCAGCCTGGCCAACACGGTGAAACCCCATCTCTACAAAAAATACAAAAATTAGCCAGGTGTGGTGGTGCATGCCTGTAATCTCAGCCACTCAGGAGGCTGAGACATGGGAATTGCTTGAACCCGGGTGGTGGAGGCTAAGGTTGCAGTGAGCCGAGATTGCACCACCGCACTCCAGCCTGGGTGAGACTCTGTCTCAAAAAAAAAAAAAAAAAAAAAAACTCACCTGAAGAAGGTTTCCAGTTCTGCCAGCAGTCCCCCGTGCAACACCCAGAAGCAGACATTCCTTTGCTGCGGGCCATGGACAGGCAGAAGGAAGCGCCTCCTCATGGCAGAGGCCTACCCGGGAGAAACCCAAGGGAAGGCACTGCCAGGCCAGCCCCTCTGCCAAGGCCATTTTCTTTTTTTTTTTTTTTTTTTTTGAGACAGTTTTACTCTGTCTCCCAGATTGGAGTGCAGTGGCACGATCTCGGCTCACTTCAACCTCTACCTCCCCAGTTCAAACAATTCTCCTGCATCAGCCTCCCAAGTAGCTGGGATTACAGGAGCACAGCATACCTAGCTAATTTTTGTATTTTTAGTAGAGATACGGTTTTGTCATGTTGTCCAGGCTGGACTCGAACTCCTGGCCTCAAGTGATCCACCTGTCTCAGCCTCCCAAAGTGCTGGGATTACAGGCGTGAGCCACAGCACCCAGCACTCATCAAGGTCTTTGATGGCAGGTTTTTCTAGGTGATCAGTCCTTGTCTGGTCTGGCTGTGTCCCACTCTCCCTCTCACCAAGTTGGAACCCCTAGCTAGTTACCAAAGGAGGATAGTGTGTACCCCAATCCCAGCTTGGTATTAAGGAAGGAGACCACTACTACTCCTGCTGCCCTCCTCCCCGCACCTTGCCTAGTTCACAAGACAGGAGGAAAGAGAGAAAGAAACAAAAGTAAGATAAATAGCCAGACAACCTTGGCACCACCACCCGGCCCTAGGAATTAAAAAAAAAGTAGTAATAATAACATCAACCCCTGACCTAAACTGCTTGTGTTATCCGTAAATTCCAGACACTGTATGAGAAAAAGCATTGTAAAACTTTTTGTTCTGTTAGCTGATGCATGTAGTCCCCAGTCACGTTTCCCACGCTTGCTCGATTTATCATGACCCTTTCACATGGACCCCTTAAAGTTGTAAGCCTTTAAAAAGGCCAAGGATTTCTTTTTCTGGGAGTTCAGCTCTTATGACACGAGTCTGCCAATGCTCCCGGCCTAATAAAAACCTCTTCCTTCTTTAATCCGGTGTCTGAGGAGTTTTGTCTGCCGCTCGTCCTCCTACAGTATGGTTCAGATCTGCATTTAACTCATGAAGCCTGGTTGCTCCCCATGCCCTGGAGGAAAAAAGGGTCTCACTGCAGGTATGATACAGGACGGGCCTGTCCCCAGAACCCTATGAGAGGGAAGCCCAATGTCCCACCAGGTTGGCAGGGCTGGGGAAGGGAGAGTTATGGTAGCCCCAAGACTAAAAAGACGCAGCAGAGGAGCAGGACAGTGCTCCCATGGCACTCATGCCGCTGCCTGAGTGGGATGAGGGAGGAGTGCACCAGCGCGGCTTTTCCCCTCCCTCCCTGCCATGTTAGTCTGATCCCCTCCAGGTGAGCCTGCCCACTTTGGGCCCAGGGTTGCCGCTGGGGCCTGTACCCAAATGCAGCCCCCCATGGCCATGGCACCAGGAGTGGGGCAGAGCAGGGAGGAGTCCTGGACAGAGGAGATGCAGGGGTAGGAAGGAATGGGCCTCAAACTCCAAGAAGGGGCCCTTCTCATGGGTCCTGCTTTCTGGCCTCTCCTCCCTTACCCCTGGGCTGATCACCCTGTGAAGAACTAAGCAAAGGCTTCTCACCGTCAGGTCCGAGGGGTGCAATTACCGGGTCCTTAGGGAGGTGCGAGGCCCCTGAAACGATGCAAGGTGTCCGGCCTAATCTTTATATTATTAGTAGAGATGGGGTTTCACCATGTTGGCCAGGTTGGTCTCGAGTTCCCGACTTCAAGTGATCCGCCCGCCTCGGGGACCCAAAATGTTGGAATTACAGGCGTGAGCCAACGCGCCCAGCGAGCCCTATTTATTTAAACCTGTACATTTTGCACTTGTTAAAGTATTTGAACATTCAATTATCATGTTTTCTTTCAGCAGTCCCTCCCGGTTGCACACTTGGATAGTTTTTTATTTTTTCAGACAGGGTTTACCTCAGTCTCGCAGGATGGAGTGCTGTGATGGGATCATAGCTCATTGCAGCCTTGAACCTTCGGGTTCAAGTATCTGGGAAGCTGAGGTGTGACTACAGAGAAGGGGTCGCGCCATGTTAACCAGGCTTCTCTTTAACTCCTGGCCTGAAGGGTTCCTTCCGCCTCGGCGGCGCCTGGACATAGTTTTCTAGTTTTGACCCACAGAAACACTGTGCTGGGTCGGAGTTTGTCAACTACCCTTCTCCAGCCAGCACACACAGAAGAACATGGTGGGGAAGTTCGCGGTTACCAGGCTCCACCCTGAGGAGAAAACAACCCAGATCCAGGCATGGTAGCGTCACTGTGACGTCGCCGATGGCTTCGCGGTATTGTCGCCAAACACCCACTCTTGTGACGTCGGCGGGGCCACGCGCCTGTGACGTCACCGAAGGCGCGCTCCTGTGACGTTACAGAGGCCCGACCCTCACGTGGAGCCAATCGGAACTCGAGGAGCGGCCACCGGGTTTTCCAGGAGCGCGCATGCGCAGATGCGTGGCCACAGACTGCAGGTCAATGTCCGCAGGCTGCCGATTAGTATCCGCAGGCTCCCACCGGGCCCCCGCCACCGATAAGCTACAAGGAGGAGCTTTACCACTGGCTGTACTACTACTACTTGCGCGACTTCTCAGCCTGAGGCGTAGGGCGCAGCAAGGGCCTGACGCTGAAAGAGCAGGCGCTGCGCACCAAGCGGCTGTCGCCTGGCGGGCACAAGCACAAGGTCGGGCAGAAGCTTCTCAGTGGCCACCGCAAGCCCGCTAGCTCCGGCTGCAGCCCTTGCCGCACACTCGCCTCACCTGAGCCTGGGTACGTCGCTCCCCAACACCTCCCCTAGCCAGTTCCCGGGGACCCCGGCTGCGTCCCCGCCGCCCGGCGCCGCTCATCCTGGGCAGGGTCGGCCCCCTCTGAGGCTGCCCGGCATTAGGGAGCTGCCCCCCCGGCTTGACCTCTGATGGCCGTTGCAACAACATCAAACGTTGGAACTTTGTAGGGAGATACAAGGGGCTAGGAAACGAAGAAAACATCTTTTTAAAAATATAAGCGATCGGGCCGGGCGCAGTGGCTCACGCCTGTAATCTCAGCACTTTGGGAGGCCAAGGCGGGTGGATCTTGAGGTCAAGAATTCAAGACCATCCTGGCCAGCATGGTGAAACCCCGTCTCTACTAAAAATACAAAAATTGCGGGCGCGGTGGCTCAAGCCTGTAATCCCAGCACTTTGGGAGGCCGAGACGGGCGGATCATGAGGTTAGGAGATCGAGACCATCCTGGCTAACACGGTGAAACCCCGTCTCTACTAAAAAATACAAAAAAATTAGACGGGCGAGGTGGCGGGCGCCTGTAGTCCCAGCTACTCGGGAGGCTGAGGCAGGAGAATGGCGTGAACCCGGGAGTCGGAGCTTGCAGTGAGCTGAGATCCGGTCACTGCACTCCAGCCTGGGCGACAGAGAGAGACTGCCTCCAAAAAAAAAATACAAAAATTAGCCGGGCGTGTTGGCGGCCACCTGTAATACCAGCTACTCGGGAGACTGAGGCAGAGGCGGAGGCTGCAATGAGCCGAAATCGCACCACTGCACTCCAGCCTGGGCGACAGAGCGAGACTCCGTCTAAAAAGTGCTCTTGCTCAGACTGAAGAAAGTAATTGGGCCGGCCCGGTGCCTCACGCCCTTAATCCCAGCACTTTGGGAGGCCGAGGTGGGCGGATCCCTTGAGCTCAGGAGTTCCAGACTAGCTTGGGCAACTTGGTGAAATTCTGTCTCTACAAAAATACAACAAATTAGCTGGGCATGGTGGCGCGCGCTTGTAGTCCCGCTACTTGCGGGGCTGAGGCTGGAGTATTACTTAGCCCAGGAGGTGGAGGCTGCAGTGAGCGTGATCTCGCCACTGCACTCCTGGTCGACAGAGTGGGACACTGTCAAAAAAAGAAAAAAGAAAAAGAAAGTAACTGATCTGTGTTTTTGTCTGATTTCCTACAGGATACCGAAGGACCTGTTGAAAGTATTTTCTGTAACTCCAACTGTAACTTGGTTCTAGGAAGACAGAATCCTTTTTTGGTCAACAGACCTTTTCACCCTCACTTAAGTTTACTGCTTCGATATCATTTCCTTACTAATTGATTGTTAATTAAGTAGTGTCCAAGTGAGTTAGCCTTTTTAGGGTTTATTAATTAAAAGAGAGCATCAAGAGTGACAGTTTAACTTCCAGGTTTTGTTTTTTTTTCCAGTTACTGTGGTAACTCTTTTCAAGTCCACAAATGATTTTGTTCTTAACTGTAAAGAAGAAGTTAGAAATGTAAGTGGGGAGAGAACAAAGTTAGGAATATGTGTAAGATTTCTACCTAAATGTCAGCTGGGCGCAGTAGCTTACACCTGTAATCCCAGCACTTTGGGAGACCAAGGTGGTCAATCGCCTGAAGTCAGGAGTTCGAGACCAGCCTGGCAAACATGACAAAACCCCATCTCTACTAAAAATACAAAAATTAGATGGGAGTGGTGGTGGGCACCTTTAGTCCCAGCTACTTGGGAGGCTGAGACAGGAGAATTGCTTGAACCTGGGAGGCCGAGGTTGCAGTGAACCGACATCATGCCACTGCACTACAGCCTGGGCGACAGAGCAAGACTCCATCTAAAAAAAAAAAAAAGAAAGATTTCTACCTAAATGTCACATACTGTTCTGAAGGTTAATATTTGGTATTCTGATGTGTATTGCACAGTGTGTCAACCTCAAATAATCAAAAGGGTCAGAATCTAAAGGGAGTTTATTCATGCAGAGAGTTTAAGAAGGGTCACCTGGGAAGCACAGATACCCAAGAGTGGAAGACAGTGTTCCAAGGCTTAGAAGTTTGGGATCACTTGCATAGACAAAGTTTAGGGAAGCTTAGCAGAATTTCAGCATCTCTCCCTATAACGCTGAATACATACTTAAAACAATCTGATTGGTCCGGGTGGTCTTTCTTTCACTTGTATCACCCACGCGGGAGTGCAGTGGTGCAGTCGCCACTCAATTACAGCCTCAGCCTCCCTGGCTCAAGCGATCCTCCCACCTCGGCATCCCTAGTAGCTGGGACTAGAGGCATGCACCAACACACCTGACTAATTTTTGTATTTTTTGTAGAGACAGGGTTTCACCACGTTGCCCAGGCCAGTCTGAAATTCCTGGGCTTAAGCAGTCCGCTCACCTCGGCCTCCGAAAGTACTGGGATTGAATGCATGAACGGCTGCACCTAGACAAGGTGGTCTTTTTTTCAGGAAAGGTATATTTAACCTTCTACACTGAAGATGTAAGTCATGGGGTCTTTTGTGCCATCTGGTGTGAGTTTGGTACAGAACAATAAAGGAGGCAGTTAATCTGTAACAAAGATGAGTGATTGGAAGGAGAGGAGGACTAGTCTCTGGTCTCTCATAGTCATTTACCGACTGAAAATAATAAGGAAGGAATAAATTATAATTTAAGAAGCAGAAGTTACAAACATGCTATGTGACTCTGTCAGGGTGTAACTTACCTCTTGGCATAGTAAATCTTATAGGGGGTCCTGAAACTTTTTTTTTCTTTTTTAGTTACTAGGATCTCTGCCCTGTTGATCCCACAATTCTTCAAGGTGAATGCTGCTATCCACTTTTCTGTTGTTTGTTTTTGAGACAGAGTCTTGCTCTGTCGTCCACGCTGGAGTGCAGTGGCATGATCTCGGCTCACTGCAATCTCTGCCTCCTGGGTTCAAGCAATTCTCCAACCTCAACCCCGCCAATAGCGGGGATTGCAGGTGCCCACCACCACACACAGCTAATTTTTGTGTTTTTAATAGAGACCAGGTTTTACCTTGTTGACCAGGCTGGTCTCGAACTCCTGACCTCAGATGATCCACCCGCCTCAGCCTCCCAAAGTGCTGGGACTACAAGCATGAGCCACCACACCCCGTCCGGGAGGGAGAGGTTACAGTGAGCCAAGATCACACTACCACACTCCAGCCTGGGTGACAGAGTGAGACTCTGTCTCAAAAATAAATAAATAAATAAATAAAATACTTAGGATCTCCATTTCTGTGGGTCAGGAATTCAGGAGTGACAGAGCTGGGTCATTTGGGCTCAGGGTGTCTCATAACATTGCAGTCAAGCTGTCCACTGAGACTGCAGTCACCTAAAGCCTGTTTCCAAGATGGCTCGCTCATGTGACTGCCGACCGGAGGCCTCAGTTCCTGTCACATGAGCCTCTCTACAGGCTACTTAGGTGTCATGGTGTGACAGCTGGCTTTCCCAAGTGAGTAATCAAAGAGTGAGCAAGAGGAAGCCACAGAACCTTTTATGATGTAGTTTGCAAAGTTGCAAGCCATCACTTTTGCTTTTTCCCATCTGTCAGAAGGGAATCATGTAACCCAGCCCACACGGATAGGAACTGGGCTCCGCCTTTTGAAGAGAGTATCACAGAATTTGTGGACGTATTTTAAATGACCATACTATGTTTAATTATTGCAAGTACGGTCACTGTAGAAAAATTGGAAAATAGGGACAAGCAAAAAAAAAATCACTTGTAATTTCATGACTCAATGGATAGCATTACTAGTTGGGTGTATATAATTCCAATATTCAAAATATATATTTTTTCAAAATATAAACACACTAGATGTACTGTGGTGTCATCTGCTCTTTCACTTAATGTATTTATGTATTATAAAAAATACCTTTCATGTCAAATATTCTTTCCTTTTTTTTTTTTTTTTTTTTTTCATTGAGACAGAGTTTCGTTCTTGTCACCCAGGCTAGAGTGCAATGGTGCAATGTCCGCTCACTGCAACCTCTGCCTCACGGGTTGAAGCGATTCTCCTGCCTCAGCCTCCCAAGTAGCTGGGATTACAAGCATAAGCCACCATGTCAAGGTAATTTTTTTGTATTTTTAGTAGAGACAGGGTTTCACCATGTTGGCTAGGCTAGTCTCAGACTCTTGACCTCAAGTGATCACCTACCTCGGCCTCCCAAAGTGCTGGGATTACAGGCATGAGCCACCGCACTTAGCCCCTCATAACATTTTTTAATGACTGCATACATTTCATCATATGTGTGTATCATAACTTATTTAATGAATTCTGTTATAGGACGCTTAGGTTGTTTACAGGTTTTCCCTGTTTTACACATGTTGTTAAATGAACATCCCTATAGCACATTTATTTGTACAATCATGACTGTTTCTTAAATCCCTAGAAGCGAAATTTTTGCAACACATTTTGCATAATTTTAAACTTCAAATGCCTGTTACCTAATTTGAGCAGAATTTTTACTGCAATAATCAAGAGTCCATTTGGCCAAATTGCTTATCTATGACAACACCTGTGAAAGTTCAAATATTGATAACTGTAAGTGAATTTGTTGAGAGTGACTGAAATCACTATGGAATGAGAAGTTGCTATAAAAATTTTACTAAAGAGGGAACTGGCCGGGCTCAGTGGCTCATGCCTATAATCCTAGCACTTTGGGAGGCCAAGGTGAGCAGATTGCCTGAGCTCAGGAGTTTGAGACCAGCCTGGACAACACAGTGAAATCCCATCTGTGCTGAAAATACAAAATTAGCCTGGCGTGGTGGTGGGCACTTTAATCCCAGCTACTCGAGAGGCTGAGGCAGGAGAATCACTTGAGCCCAGGAAGCGGAGGTTGCAGTGAGCCGAGATCGCACCACTACACTCCAGCCTGGGCAACAGAGTGAGACTCTGTCTCAAAAAGATAAAATAGGGAGATCCGAGTGTGTTAGCACCAGCACCAACACACTACCAAACAGTTTTCCAAAGTGGGGGCACCAGTGTAAACTCCCATTAGAGCTGTATGGATTTCTCTTACAGCACGTCCTCTAAATCTTTGGTACTGTTAGTGTTTTCAGCTTTAGGATTTTTGGTGACTCTATAGAGGAATCTCATAGTAGGTATTTTGTTCGTTTTTGTTTTTGGGTTTTGGGTTTTTTTTTTTTAAACAAAATATATTCCAATTTAAAACAGAGTTCATTTCAGGAGAAAGATATGAAAAGTCAACTTCCATTGGTGTCTGGATTAAGGGTCAGGGCCAGTGGCCACGGACGGTGACATTGAGCCGCTCCTCAGCCCCTCCTCCTGTCCCCCAACGTGCACGATACATGCATTTCAAACAGTAAAAGCTTTGAAAACTGCATCGTAGGGCCAGGCGCAGTGGCTCACGCCTGTAATCCCGGCACTTTGGGAGGCCGAGGCGGGCGGATCACGAGGTCAGGAGATCGAGACCATTCTGGCTAACACGGTGAAACCCCGTCTCTACTAAAAAATACAAAAAACTAGCCGGGCGAGGTGGCGAGCGCCTGTAGTCCCAGCTACTCGGGAGGCTGAGGCAGGAGAATGGCGTGAACCCGGGAGGTGGAGCTTGCAGTGAGCTGAGATCCGGCCACTGCACTCCAGCCTGGGCGACAGAGTGAGACTCCATCTCAAAAATTAAAAAAAAAAAAAAAAAAAAAAAAGATAAAACAGCATTGTATAGAATATTCTTTTTAAAATAAGGTTGAAATTGTCTGAAATCAGGACAGTGTAATATACAAGTATCACTGGGTCTTGTCCACCAGGCCAGCTGCAGGATCTGCTGCCACCACTGGGGACATTGGCAAGGGAATGCCCCTCTAGGGGAGCTGGGGGACCCAGGACGTGGGTCTTGCAGTGGCCAGGGCCTGCTGCTGCCTGCGCATGACATGGTCAGAGAAGGTGGTCGGCACTCACGAGAAAGCATTGGCAGGTGAGATTTCACCAAGGTGAAAACGCACACCCCACACGTGGTCCCACACATGACACGGGTGGGGGTCGGCTGCCCCTTCCCTGACCTGAGGGTGTCACTGATGTGAGAACCACTGCCTGGGACTCTACTGGGGCAGGCACCCCTACCCCAGGCCTGCAACACCAACCTCTGCTTTTTTGAGGGGTCGGGGGATCAGGCACTCGGACCCAGAGGACCCAGGCCAAGAAGGTTTGGTGGCCTCAGCCTGGCTCTGGGATGCTTGGCACAGCCCCCTCCCCTGGAAGGGCTAATACTTAGCACCCCAGTCTGCACGCTGGGCGATTCCACCCTTGTGCCAGGTTCAGGTCCCCTTGTGCGATCTGGGCCCTCAGAGATGCCACAAGTCCAGGCCCCCTAGAGGGGTCCGCTGCCGGCAGTGGATACACTGGCCCCGCCAGGGGTGGCACCATCTGCTCCCCCAGGGCACGGCCGGGCCCCAGCACTCACCATGGGGGCTTCTGGCGCCAACCCTCTTAAGTAGACACTTGGCACAAAAAAAGGACGCTTCTGGGAGAGACAAAAGTGGAAAAGTGGCGAGGGGAGCGGGGACGCTGCCCGGTTTCCCAGTGGGGCTGATCACCAGAAATGTACCTGTCCCCTCCACGGGGCTCCCCCTCTTCTCCCACCAGAAGCCAGCAGACAGCCCTGCGCAGAAGGAGGCGGGGGCAGGCGTGACAGTGGCAGGCGGGAACTGCTGGTCGGGGTGGTCTTATTTGGGGGCTGTTTCTTTTATAATCTGTCAAGGCCAGAAGCAGCCGTCCAGGATCCCGGAATTGCAGTGGGCGAGGGCAGCACGGACGATCCATCCTGGGACAGCTGTGCGAAGTCCAGACCCACAGGGTGCTGCAGTGGTCAGTCAGCAGCAGACGAAAGAGCCACCTCCCCAAAACAGTCCCCTCATTCCCCACCTTCTGAGTCTTTGGGGGAGAACCATTCTGGGTGCCTCAGTGCCTAAAGGGGCCCCGGGAGGCGGTCCCCCGGGCTGTGGCTCAGTGCGCAGCGGTGGCCTGGCGGGCTCCCCATCAGACCGTGGCTGTGGCCAGTCAGGCCTGGAAGCTGCCAGGGCCGGCGCCTGCCTCCACCTTCCACGCAGCCCTGGCCAAAGTGCTGGCTTCCCGCTCCTCAGGGGTGGGCACAAGTGCTTGGGACAAGGCCACGCATGTAGATGCCGGCCACGTCCCTCTCTCTACGTCTCGGGTACACACCTGGGAATATTCTGTAAAAGTCCCCACTCCACCCTCACTGTTTCCAAACTGGGGACAACACAAAGCAGAACAAAACGAAAAGAAATGCTCCATCCAAGTGGCCTTTGGGTGTTACCGGGGACATCCCTCCAGCTACCAAGCCCACATGGGCTCCAGTGGGGTGCACTCCAGCTGGAGCAGGGTGGCGGTGTAGCCCTCTGGAGCCCCTGGGCAGCCCCAAGCAGCTAATGTCACCCCTGGAGGCACAGCCCGGAGCAGCCCTGAGCCCCCATGACTCCAGCCCAGGGACCCTTCCCAGCCTCTGCAGAGGGATGGGGTACCTGGCCAGAATAGAGGACCCTGGGCGTTTCTTCAACCTGTGAGGTCAGGCCGTTCTTTTTTTACAAAAAAAAAAAAAAAAAAAGTTTAGGCACTTCCCAGGGTGGGCGACTGAGGGAGTCCCCCAGCCCCTCTTCAGGAGACCAGTGGGCAAAACACAGCATTGAGTCGTGAAGAGGCCAGGCGCACTGGGCGTCAATAACTTAAAAAAGGGGGAAAATGTCAGTCCCCGACTCTCCACGCCTTTCCTGATGAAGAAGAAAAGAAGCGGGGAAGAGAAAGAAAAAACACCTGGGGTTGGAAGGACAATCGCGGGAGGCTGCTGGAGTGGGGACCCCCATGCTGGCTGGCAAGGGGCTCCGTGAGGGCCAGAGTCGCTGGGGACACGGGGCACTCGTGTGTTTTATGTTTCGTCGGGTTTTTTCTTTTCTTTTCTTTTTTTTTTTTTTTTAGAAAAAAGCCAGTCATAAGGCCGGAAAAAGGCTGCCTTTGCCGGTTGACAAAAGGTGAGAAGGCGCGCGAAGTGTTCGGAGAGATATACATCCCCTGATAACTGTGAAATAAAAACCATTTGTTAAAAATATTAAAAACAAACAAACAAAAACAAACAAAATAACTCCTCCGCAGGCAGAGGCCCCGGCCCGGGCTCAGCAGCGCCACCCGGCGGCAGCCGCGGGCTCGGTGTGAAGGAGAGTTTGTCCGGGCCCTTGTCTCCGTCCGGTCTCCCTGGGCCTGGGCGCTTTCAGACCGGGTTGTGCTCCTTGAGGTTGAGCTGCAGGATGGTGCCCTTCACGGCCGCGAGCACGAAGCGGATGTTCTTCGTGTAGATGATCTTGTCGCCATCGGGGTTCGTGTCCACGAACATCTTCAGGATGAACTCCCGCGCCGCTGGGCGTCCCGCTGGGGCCCGTCGAGCTCGGGAACGGAGCCCACCAGGTGCCAGTACAGGATACTGTCCTCCAGCAGGTCCTTCTCGTTGAGGAAGAGGATGATGGAGTTCTGGAACCAGGGATACTTGACGATGGTCCGGAACAGGGCTTTGCTCTCCTCCACCCGGTTCTCCTTGTCCGACTCCACCAGCACTTGGTCGTATTCACTGAGGGCGACGAGAAACAGGATGGACGTCAGGTTCCCAAAGCAGTGGATCCGCTTCCTGGAGCCGACCGCTGTCCCCCCACATCCACCATCCTGAAGATGATGCTCTCCAGGTCGAAAGATGCCGGTGGTGGGCACGCGGCCCCGCAGCGCGTCCTGCGGGGTGGGCAGGTGGCCCGAGGTGGCCCTGCGGGCAGCGTCCGTCAGGCAGTACTTGGCCGGGTCCGAGAGCTGGCACTGGCGCCTGCGGTCGCAGCACTCCTGGGTGCCGGGGTCGTCCCGCAGGGTCCTGATGGCGCTGACGTACCGGTGCTGGAAGGTGGTCACCTTCTCCACGTCCGCCTCTCGCATCCGGAGCCACTGGCCTTGTTCTGCTCCTCCTTGTGGAGGATCTTCAGCGTCTCCATGGCCCGGATCGTGGCCTGGATGGCGGTGCAGATGTTGTGGTAGACGAGCTTGGTGAAGCCGCGCTTGGCCTCCTCCGAGTAGCCGGCGCCCTGGACGATGCGCGTCTGTTTGATGAAGATGCTCTTCCCGCTCTCGCCCCTGCGGAGCAGCAGCAGCTTGAGCTGGCGCCGGGCGTCGCGCTTGTCCCCCGCAGCTGCTTCTGGATCTCGGCGTTGATCCGCTCCTTCACCTCATCGCTCAGGCAACGCGCCATCACGGGCTCCAGAGTCATCGTCCCGGCCCGGCCGCCGCCCACCGGCCCCCGCCCGCCCTGCCCCGCCTCGGCCGCTGCCTGCCAGCCGCCGGGTCCCCGCTGGGGCAGCGCCCACCGCGGACTCCCGCGCTGCAGCTTAGCCTGCATTGCCGCCGCAGCCACCGCCAACCGCAGCCTCTGCAGCCGAGCGACAGCGCCCGAGTTGGGTTTTTTTCCTTGAGATGGAGTCTCACTCACTTTGTTGCCCAGGCTGGAGTGCAGTGGCGCGATCTCAGCTCACTGCAACCTCTGCCTCCTGGGTTCCAGCGATTCTCCTGCCTAGGCCTCCCAAATCACTGGGATTACAGCCGCCCGCCACCACACCTGGCTAATTTTTTGTGTGTGTTTAGGAGAGACAGCGTTTCACCGTATTAGCCAGGATGGTCTCGATCTCCTGACCTCGTGATCCGCCCGCCTCGGCCTCCCAAAGTGCTGGGGTTACAGGCGTGAGCCACTGCACCTGGCCTAATTTTAGTATTTGTATTAGAAACTGTGTTTCACCACGTTGGCTAGGCTGGTCTCGAATCCTGACCTCAAGTGATCTGCCAGCCTCAGCCTCCCAAAATGCTGTGATTACAGGCATGAGCCACCATGCCCTGCCAAAAGTTGCAATTTTTTTTCCCCCTGGGAGATGGAGTCGCACTCTGTCTTCCAGGCTGGAGTGCACTGGTGTGATCTTGACTCACTGCAACCTTTCCCTCCCGGGCTCAAGCTATTCTTCTGTCTCAGTCTCTGGAGTAGCTGAGATTACAGGCCCATGCCACCATGCCAGGCTAATTTTTTTCTATTTTTAGTAGAGATGGGGTTTCACCATGTTGGCCAGGCTGGTCTTGAACTCTTGACCTCAGGTGATCTGCCCGCCTCAGCCTCCCAAAGTGCTAGGATTACAGGTATGAGCTACCACACCCGGCCCTTTTTCTATTTTTTTAAGAGAGGGAGTCTCACTATGTTGCCCAGGCTGGATTCAAACTCTCGGGCTCAAGCCATCCTCCTGTGTCAGCCCCCTCAGGAGCTGCGATGACATGCACATGCCACTGTGCTTGGCAACTTTTCATGTTTTTCCATTTCCACTGGATTGTAAATAAACTGAAGGCAAGGTCCAGAACCTGTGTGTGCTTGCAGGCCCACCAGCACTAGAGATATGTAGCTTGAGCTGGACAGAGATTTAGGGCATAGAACTTTATTTTCATTTTATTTTTTGTAGAGGTAGGATCTCACTATGTTGCCCAGGCTGGTCTCAAACTCCTGGGCTTCCAGTGATCCTTCTGCCTCAGCCTCCTGAAGTGCTGGGATTACAGGTGTGAACCACTGTGCCTGGCCTTAGGGCACAGAATTAATGCAGTGTGAAAGGAAGTGCATCTAGCCCAGCCCCCCATTGATGGATTCATCTACATTCACCAGACAAGGTAGGGAGTTCAGGATGAGTTGCTATTATTTACAAAGTGATAACGTTTCCACTTGAAATCATGGTCCTGTGCGTTCATTCACCCCTCTAACTTTTCAAATCAGGAGACAGTGACTAGAGGCCCTGCCCACCATCCCCACAGCAAATGTCATGAGAATTTCAGGTCCATCCTGACAACCGTCCCGTCTCAGTGCCTGGGTGAGTTTCCTCGGTATTTAAGAATGCTTACCAGTCTTCGGGCTTCCACCCCAAATCCAAGAACTAGATTTCTTTCAGCTTCATTTACTTTTTATTAAGGGAGCAAGCAATTTTCTCTGGCAGTGAAAGCATTCTGCAGATGCGCAGTTCTATAGAGGAAATGTAAACCAGACACCTACCCCGCAAACAACTCACTTTTTTTTTTTTTTTTTTTTTGAGATGGAGTCTCGCTCTGTCACCCAAACTGCAGTGCAGTGGTGTGATCTCGGCTCACTGCAACCTCCACCTCTCGGATTTCAGCCATTCTCCTGCCTCAGCCTCCTGAGTAGCTGGTATGACAGGCACTTGCCACCATGCTGGCTAATTTTTTTGTATTTTTAATAGAGATGGGGTTTCATCATGTTAGCCAGGATAGTTTCAATCTCCTGACCTTGTGATCCACCTGCCTCAGCCTCCCAAAGTTCTGGAATTACAGGCGTGAGCCACTGCATCAGGCTCAACTCATTATTCCAGTAAGGACAGACAAGTCTCAGAACCTGCCAGGAGGGGATGATTCTACCCCTATAGCAAATTTAGAGAATATTAAAAAGGAAAATTAAAAGCACCTCTATCCCTCAAACCCAATGGTAACTACTGCTAAGATTTTGCTTTTTTTCCCATTTTCTCTTTTATTTTCTTCCTCCCTCCCTCCCTCCCTCACTACCTTCCTATTTCTTTCCTTTTCTCTCCTTCCTACTTTCTTTGCTTCTTTTCTTTCATTTTTCTTTCTTTTTCCTTTCCTTTTTCCTTCCTTTCTTCTTTTTCTTTCTTCCCTCCCTTCCTCTCTTCCTCCCTTCATTCCTTCCTTCCTCTTCCCTCCCTATCTTCCTTCCTTCCTTTCTCTTTCTCTCTTTCTTTTCTTTCCTTCCTTCCTTTCCTTCTTCTTTCTTTCTTCCTTCCTTTTTCTTCTTTTCATTGTTCCTTTCTTTCTTTCCCCCATCCTTCCTTCCCACCTGCCTGCCTTCTGTTTGCTTTGCATCAGATTTTGAAACACATTTGGAACCATGCTTAACATTATGCTAGGACAGTTTTCTACATAGTTATACTTCAAAATTTTTAAAAATAAATAACACAAATGGGTGTACCAAAATTTAAACATTCACCTGTACAATGTAAACAATGAAATTTTTTATTCGTATAGTCAATATTTGCATGTGCATTTTTTATATGCTTTTGATTATTATCTTAGGATAGATGTCTAGAAATGGAGTTAGTGTGCCAAAAAGTAAAAATTCTTTTTTCTTTTTCTTTTTTTTTTTTTTAGGCAGAGTCACTCTGTCACTCAGACTGGAGTGCAGTGCTGTGACCACAGCTCATTGTAGCTTCAACCTTCTGGGCTGTGCAAGCAGTCCTCCAACCTCAGCCTCCTGAGTAGCTAGAACTACAGGCGTGTACCACCAAGCCCAAATAATATTTTTAAAAATTTTTTGTAGAGATGCGGTCTCACTATATTGCCCAGGCTGGTCTTAAACTCCTGAGCTGAAGTGGTCCTCCTGCCTCAGCCTCCCAAAGTGCCGGGATTATAGGTATGAGCCACCACCACTCCCAGCCTAAAAAGATTTTTAAGGCTCATGACATACTGTGCTGAATTGCTCTCTGGAAATGTTATAATTTTTGTTTATCAGGGAGGTACATTTTTCTGTACACTCTACCTTGGGGGGCGGAGTTTGCAGCTGAGATCGTGCCACTGCACTCCAGCCAGGTCAACAGAGTGAAACTCTATCTCAGAAACAAACAAACAAAAATAGGCAACAAGGAAGGATGCTTAGGGTGTAACACTAAGCAAAAGAAGAAAATTTGATTGTGCTTTGCTTACAACTGTGTTTCAAATGTAATCACTGGGGAAAAACAAGGGTATGGCAAAACAGTAGCAGTGCTAGGCAAACTGATTTGCGTTTATTTTCTAAATCAGTTATGATGCACTTCTAATACTTTGGTAATGAAGGAAAAAAACTATGCTTTGTCCAGCACGAACTGGGCATGACCAGACTTGACAGCAGTCTGTGGCGCAGCTATCCAGAGAGTTTGGTTGACGCCAAGCTCAGGCTGAGATGACAGCATGGCGTGGCGGCTAAGGAATTGACATGGCGCCCAGCTGGGTTTCGCAATGGCATTAGAAAACACCATAGAAGCCTCCACACAGCACTCACAGCCAGAGGCTGGGCGGCACTGCAGGGGCTGGGGACCTTGGATGAGCATAGCACCATTGCTGTTTGTTTCACAGAGCAGAACACAGGCTCAGCCACTTCCCCACACAGGTCACACAGCCTTGGGCTGGAACACGTTTCCCATGCAGGGCTCCTTCCCAGGTACCCCAGTCAAACTTGATGAATTAAGAAAATTATGGCTGGGCATAGTAGCTCACGCCTATAACCCCAGCACTTTGGGAGGCCAAGGCGGGTGGATCACCTGAAGTCAGGAGTTCGAGACCAGCCTGGCCAACATGGTGAAACCCCGTCTCCACTAAAAATACAAAATTAGCCGGGCATAATGGCATGCACCTCTAATCCCTGCTATTTGGGAGGCTGAGGCAGGAGAATCACTTGAACCCAGGAGGCGGAGGTTACAGTGAGCCAAGATTGCACCACTGTACTCCAGCTTGGGTGACAAGAGCAAAACTCCGTCTAGAAAAAAGAAAAAGAAAATTCTGATGGTGGTGCATGCCTGTAATCCCAGCTACTCGGGAGGCTGAGGCAGAAGAATCGCTTGAACCCAGGAGGCGCAGGTAGCAGTGAGCTGAGACTGCACCACTGCGCTCCAGCCTGGGTGACAGAGCGAGACTCTGTCTCAAAAAGAACAAAACAACAACAAAAAAGAAAATTCTGAGATGTCCAGGACCACCATGGATTAGAGGATTTTGCATGTGTGTGCCTTTTCTGTTTACACATGTATGATATGAAACAGTTAAATGATACAGAACTGTGTAATACATTGAGCAGGTACAGTGGCTCATGTCTGTAATCCTAGCACTTTGGGAGGCCAACGTGGGAGGATCACTTGAGCCCAGGAGTTCGAGACCAGCTTGGGCAACATGGCGAAACCCTTTCTCTGCAAAAAAATTTTAAAAGTAGCCAGCCGTGGTGATGCACGCCTCTAGTTCCAGCTACTGAGGAGACTGAGGCAGGTGGATCACTTGATCCCAGGAGTTTACAACCAGCCTGGGCAGCATAGCAAGATCCCATCTCTACAAAAAAAAAATAAAACAATTAACTGGATGTGGTGGTACATACCTGTAGTCCCAACTATTCGGGAGGCTGAGGTGGGAGATTCGCTTGAGCCCAAGAGGTTAAGGCTGCAGTGGGCTGTGATTGCACCACTGCACTCCAGCCTGGGCAACAGAGCAAGACCCTGTCTCTTAAAACAAAGCAAAACAAAACAAAAAATATGTAACATGTGAAGGAAAAAGCTCCGGTCACATCCTCCTCAGACAACCACTAGTATTCCTAGTATCTACCCTTTTGTATTTTTTTTTCTATGTGCTAACTCATGTGATGACAATTTTAAACAAATTGTCCCGTGTTCTCACCTGGAATTTTTTTTTTTTTAGACGGAACCTCCCAGGTTCAGGTGATTCTCCTGTCTCAGCCTCCCGAGTAGCTGGGATTACAGGTGCCTACCACCAAGCCCGGCCAATTTTTGTATTTTTAGTAGACACAGTGTTTCCCGATGTTGGCCAGGCTAGTCTCGAACTCCTGGCCTCCCACCTCGGCCTCCCAAAGTGCTGGGATGACAAGCGTGAGCCACCATGCCTGGTCAAGGACTTTGTCTTGTTCCCACATGTCCTCGGTGTCTAAAACAGACTCGCTTGGGAGGTGCATGCAAAATGTTCTCAGCCTGCTTCTGTGTGAAGGCCAGGGTAGGCACCTGTACGGAATCGGGGTCCCTGAGCCCATTGGAGTGGGTGCCATGCTTCAGAGTTGGGGCCCCCTGGCCTGCCATTCCCCAGCTCTCTGGTCTGACGTCAGCAGTGCGTGGCTTAGGAGATGATGAATGTGGCTTCCCGGCATCCTCTGTTCTCTTTTAGACAAAGGTCCAAGTGAGGACCCTTAGCCCGAGGAGTGGCCCATGGAGGGTGAGGCCCTGTCTACCCCCCACATTTCATGCCCACCCCCACCCCATCTCTTCTCCCCTGCCCTCCACCTCCCCTTGGCCTCGGGGTCTCTTCCTTCTCTCCATCCCATCTCTCTCCAGCACCCTGGTTTGGGGATGGGAGTCCTGTGGGCTGCCTGAGGTGGGAGGAGATTTAAAGACCCGTCTTCCAGAAGGTCTTTAGGAGGTACCTGGTCAGAACTGCGAGCGGTTCCCACTGCTAAGGGAAATTACAAGGCTTTGTTTTCATTACACACCCTGCTGCCTTCCGCAAAGGTTTTAAGACTGGGAACTGAGCCTCCTCTATCTGAACAAGTAGAATAGAGGCCTGAAAGCACAAAATTGGCTGTGTCCAGCAGACACACCCATTCTGAGGAACATGAGAATTCCCACCCTGCTGAGAATGGAAGTAGGACAGAGAGAGAGGGAGGCCAAGGTGAGGGTGGGTCTGTTTCACCTCTGGAGTACCCTGGAATGGAATGAGTGAGTGTCAAAGGAGAGAATTGTCACTTCCCCAAACCCAGCCTGGCCCGCGGAACCAGGAAGTCTTTTTTTTTTTTTTTTTTTTTTTTTTTGAGACGGAGTCTTGCTCTGTCGCCCAGGCTGGAGTGCAGTGGCCGGATCTCAGCTCACTGCAAGCTCCGCCTCCCGGGTTTACGCCATTCTCCTGCCTCAGCCTCCCGAGTAGCTGGGACTACAGGCGCCCGCCATCTCACCCGGCTAGTTTTTTTTGTATTTTTTAGTAGAGACGGGGTTTCACCGTGTTAGCCAGGATGGTCTCGATCTCCTGACCTCGTGATCCGCCCGTCTCGGCCTCCCAAAGTGCTGGGATTACAGGCTTGAGCCACCGCGCCCGGCCGGAACCAGGAAGTCTTAACACAGTTCCACTGCCACCTGGTGGCAGTGTGCTCAATTTGCAGGCTTAGTGTGTACCCACTAGTTCTCAGTCACATACTATACTCAGTCACATACCTAGAAAGACCCATGGTCACTGCTAGTACACAGAACCTTCCAAATCTTCATTTAGACCGGTGGTGCCCTAGATTTGATTTCACAAACAAGATTGTGAGCCCAGGAATTGTGGATCTGTCTGCGTGTGACATTTCTGAGGAAATAAGTTATCCACCGCCACCGCCCCAGCCTTCCCCCATTCCAAGATCCCACCACAGGGCCAATCTTGGTACCAGCAGAGCAGGAACATCAGCCAAGAAGCAGCCACCAAACAGCCTCAACAGACTGCCTTTTGCCTTCCAGACAGCCACAGTGACGTGATCCAGCCCCTGTGGAAGCAGGTGGAGCTGCTCGTCAACACACATTACAGTGAGTAACAGGTGGGACGGGGTCTGGGGACATCCCGGCCCCCTCCAGCTGCCCTGTTTGCAGAAGGACTTTGGACCCATCCCCTTGCCTGCTCCCATCGGAGCTGCTCTCTGGGCAGGGACAAGGGAGGGAGAGAAGGGAGGAGCTGGGACCCTCCTTAAAAAGAAAAGAATAAGATAAGATAACCTCAGTGGTGTGCCAGGCATGAGGCTAGGTGCTTCCCCATGTTTTTTTTGTTTTGTTTTGTTTTTTTGTTTTGAGACAGAGTCTCACTCTGTCATCCAGGCTGGAGTGCAGTGGCACAATGTCGGCTCACTGAAACCTCTGCCTCCCAGGTTCAAGCGATTCTCCTGCCTCACTCTCCCGAGTAGCTGGGATTATAGGTGCCCGCCACCACGCCCAGCTAATTTTTGTATTTTTGATAGAGACAGGGCTTCACTGTGTTGGCCAGGCTGGTCTTGAACGCCTGATCTCAAGCAATCCGCCCGCCTCTGCCTCCCAAAGTGCAGGGATGATAGGCATGAGCCACCATGCCCAGCCCCCCGTATTGTTGTATCCCATCTCACAAAATCCCCATGTCTTAAGACCCACTTTACAGATGAAGAGAACTGAGGCCTGGTAAAGGGGTGTGGCTCGTCCAAGGCCCCACACTACTCAGTGGCAGAGATCAGGCTCATTCCACGGCGTGGTGTTGGGCCACACCAGCGTGTGGGGTTGCTTATGGTGGCAGGAGGGACACTGGAGGGGCCTTACTGGAAGGGTGAGGTCAAGTGGACGTAGAGGGAGGCAATGCCGAATCTCAGCAGCCATTAGTGGTGACTTCTGTGCTGCCTGGGCATGAGGGCGTGGACCCAGCGTGGGCCTTGGGGTAAGCACGGGTTGAGTTCTTATCCCCTGGCTCTGCTGTTCAGTGGCTCTGTGACCTCAGACAAGTCACGTGCCCTGTGAGCTCCAGGGTCCTTTCCTGCAAGCTGGGGGGCCACTCTTTCCACCTCCCAGGAAGGCTGGCAGGCCTTCAAAAGGGTTTTGGCAGCTTTGCCCCCTACATAGGCACAGGACACAGGGGTTGAGGCTCCTGGCCCCCTGGCACCGGGTGGCCTTACAGCAGCCATGTCTCTGCAGCCAAGGCCATTGGCATCTCGGAGCCCGTCAAGGTGCCGTACTCCAAGTTTCTGATGCACCCGGAGGAGCTGTTGGTGGTGGAGCTGCGTGAAGGCATCTCCCTCCGCAGGTCCAACTGCTTCGGGATCGCCAAGTTCCAGAAGGTTCTGAAGGCCAGCAACAGCATCCAGTTTGTCATCAAGAGGTAAGGCCCGACCAGGTCCACCGGAGACAGCATCAGGCCTGCTTAGCACCCAGGGGCAGGAGCAGCACCAAACTGCCATCAAGCGATTCTTGTGCCTCAGCCACACCAATAGGTGGGACCACAGGTGTGTGTCACCGTGCCCAGCTAATTTATTTTTTTATTTTTAAAATTTTTTTTTTGAGACGGAGTCTCACTCTGTCGCCCAGGCTGGAGTGCAGTGGCCGGATCTCAGCTCACTGCAAGCTCCATCTCCCGGGTTTACGCCATTCTCCTGCCTCAGCCTCCCGAGTAGCTGGGACTACAGGCGCCCGCCACCTCGCCCGGCTAGTTTTTTGTATTTTTTTTAGTAGAGACGGGGTTTCACCGTGTTAGCCAGGATGGTCTCAATCTCGTGACCTCGTGATCCGCCCGTCTCGGCCTCCCAAAGTGCTGGGATTACAGGCTTGAGCCACCGCGCCCGGCCCATGCCCAGCTAATTTATTTATTTATTTATTTATTTATTTATTTATTTATTTATTTATTTATTTAATTTTTTTCGAGAGAGGGTCTGGCCACATTGCCCAGACTGTTCTCAAACTCCTGGACTCAAGCCATCTCCTGCCTGGTCCTCCCAAAGTGATTACAGGCGTGAGCCACCATGCCTGGCCACTATTTCTTTTCTTTTTTTTTTTTCTTTAGACAGAGTCTCATCTCTGTCTCCCAGGCTGGAGTGCAGTGGTGCGATCTTGGCTCACTGCAACCACAGCCTCCTGGGTTCAAATGATTCTCCTGACTCAGCCTCTCGAGTAACTGAGACTACAGGTGCCGGCCACCACGCCTGGCTAATTTTTGTATTTTTAGCAGAGATGGGGTTTCACCATGTTGGCCAGGCTGGTCTTGAACTACTGACCTCAAGTGATCCAGTCACCTTAGCCTTCCAAAGTGCTGGGATTACAGGCATGAGCCACCGCACCAGGCCCCTTTTCTTTTCACCTTTTTTTTTTTTTTTTTTTTTGACAGCAAGGTGTTAGATGGGGTTTGGCTGCAGTTGGCAGACATGAGGCTCCCCAGGCCTGCCAGACCCAAAGTCACTGAGCTGACCCCTTTCACAGTCTCAGGAGAGCAGTGTTCAGTTTGTCCAGATGCAGAATGGGAACGTCCCATCAGCTCACGGGTTCTCCAGGCTGGCGTGTTGGTGTCCTGGGCCAGGGGCTGGGGGCAATGTCCCATCGTCCTAGGATGGGAAAGTCTGGCAGTAGCTTCTCCAGGCTCTTTCTGTTTCCTTGAGCGTGTTGTGTTTTTGCCAGTGAGGGCCCAGGGCGGCATCCGTGGATACACCATGTGTGCCCAGCTAGGATAAAAAGTCCCTTTGGGGAAGGTGGTGGCAGTTATTGAGTAAAAATGTGGTTGGGGGATTTCAGGAACAGTGGCTCATGCCTATAATCCTGGCACTTTGGGAAGCTGAGGTGGGAGGATTGCTTGAGTCCAGGAGTTCAAGACCAGCCTGGGCAACATAGCAAGACTGTGTCACTACAAATTTTTTTTTTTTTTTTTTAAGCTCTGATGTGGCAGCACATGCCTGTAGTCTCAGCTACTCATGAGGCTGAAGCAGAAGGATCACTTGAGGCCAGGAGTTCAAGACTAGCATGGGCAACATAACGAGACCCCATCTCTAAAAAAAAATTAAATTAGCTGGGCATGGTGGGGCACACATGTTACACCTGTAATCTCAGCTATTCAGGAGGCTGAGGTGGGAGGATCACTTAAGCCAAGGAGGGGTTTGAAAGCTCCAGTGAGCTATGATTGCACCATTGCACTCCAGCCTGGGTAGCAGAGCAAGACCCCTCCTCAAAAAAATGAAACAATAAAACAGGGAATGGGAGGATCATATTTCCATTCTGTGTTTGTTAATTCTGTGTTACTGTAATAGCATACGTTTAGGCTTGGTTTACGGCTGGGCACGATGCCTCATGCCTGTAATCCCAGCACTTCGGGAGGCCAAGGCGGGCACTTGAGGTCAGGAGTTCGAGACCAGCCTGGCCAACATGGTGAGAGCCCGTCTCTACTAAAAATATACAAATTAGCCAGGCGTGGTGGCTCACGCCTGCAATCCCAGCTGTAATCTCCCTGTCGTCAGGAGACTGAGGCACAAGAATCACTAGAACCCAGGAGGTGGAGGTTGCATTGAGCTGAGATCACGCCACTAGACTCCAGCCTGGGCAACAGAGTAAGACTCTGTCTCAAAAAAAAAAGAAAAGAAAAAGAAAAAATTACGCTTGGTTTGCTTGAAAGTGGCAAGAAAGAAGAGACTCTTAAGGGTTTATTCCTCCAGGGGAATAGATGGTTCTCAAACTGGGAGACTCACAGTGTCATTTTAGCATACAGTGGCAAGGAGACCCGCTGGGACAGGGAGCTCTTCTGCAGGGCCTGCCCTATGCCAGGAGGGAGGCTGCTGCTCCACGACACACAAAGAGCAGATAGCGAAAAGCTACACAACAGGGCTGGAGAGCAAGAGTTGTGATTTGTGCAGTAGAATCAAAGGCTTCAGCAGGCCAGGATAAAATGCAGCCACATACCTGGTGTGTCTGGGCATATTAAAAGGAAGATTGAACTGGGCATGGTGGCTCATGCCTGTAATCCCAGCACTTTGGGAGGCTGAGGTGGGCAGATAATTTGAGATCAGGACTACTAAAAATACAGATATGAAGGCCAGGCGCGGTGGCTCACACCTGTAATCCCAGCACTTTGAAAGGCCAAGGTAGGCGGATCACCTGAGGTCAGGAGTTCGAAACCAGCCTGACCAATATGGAGAAACCCCATCTCTACTAAAAACTACAAAATTAGGCCAGGCGTAGTGGCTCACGCCTGCAGTCCCAGCACTTTGGGAGGCCGAGGTGGGCAGATCACGAGGTCAGGAGATTGAGACCATCCTGGCTAACACGGTGAAACCCTGCCTCTGTTAAAAATACAAAAAGGTAGCCGGGTGTGTTAGTAGGCACCTGTAGTCCCAGCTATTTGGGAAGCTGAGGCAGGAGAATGGCGTGAACCTGGGAGGCGGGGCTTGCAGTGAGCCAAGATTGTGCCACTGCACTCCAGCCTGGGCAATAGAGCGAGACTCCGTCTCAAAAACAAAAACAAAAAACAAAATTAGCCGGGTGTGGTGGTGGGTGCCTGTAATCCCAGCTACTTGAGAAGCTGAGGCAGAAGAATTGCTTGAACCCAGGAGGCAGAAGTTGCAGTGAGCCGAGATCGCGCCACTGCACTCCAGCCTGGGCAACAAGAGCAAAACTCCATCTCAAAAAAAAAAGAAAAAAAAAAAATTAGCTAGGCATAGTGGCATGCACCTGTAATCCCAGCTACTCAAGAGGCAAAGACAGGAGAATCGCTTGAACTTGAGAAGCGGAGGTTGCAGTGAGCCGAGATTGCCCTCCCGCATTTCAGCCTGGGGGACAGAGTGACACTCTTGTCTCAAAAAATAATAAATAAATAAATAAAAAGGGAAGATTGCATTTCAGGCGGTTTAAGGATAAACTCGTGATAGACATATAGCCCATCAGATGTATGAAAATATAGGGAAATAAAGATTCACAAGAGAGTATGTGTAATTATAGCACAGTAATTGGCTCTACTGTATACATGTATAGTACTGTACTGGTTGAAGGAGAGTTTCTTTCAACAGATTCCCAGCATGAGCAATGTGGTGAAACCCCATCTCTAGGGGGAAAAAAAAAAATTAGCTAGGCTTGGTGGCATGCACCTGTAGTCCCAGCTACTCAAGAGGCTGAGGTGGGAGGATCACTTGAGCCAGGAGGTTGAGGCTGCAGTGAGCCATGATCGCACCACTGCACTCCAGTCTGGGTGACAGAGTAAGACCCTGTCTCAAAAAAAAAAAAAAAAAAAAATGTAATTACATTCTGGCCGGGCATGATGGCTCATGCCTGTAATCCCAACACCTTGGGAGGCCCAGACAGGAGGATCGCTTGAGCCCAGGAGTTTAAGACCAGCTTGGGCACTGTATCGAGACCCCATCTCCACAAAAAAATTTAAAAATTCTCACACCTGTAATCCCAGCAGTTTGGGAGGACAAAACGGGAGGGTCGTTTGAGGCCAGGAGTTCAAGACCAGCCTGGTCAACATAGTGACCCCGTCTCTATTTGATTTTTAAAATTAAAAAAATTAGCCAAGTGCAGTGGTATGTGCCTGTAGTCCCAGATACTTGGGAGGCTGAGGCGGAAGGCGGAAGAATCGCTTAAGCACAGAAGGTCCAGGCTGCTATGTGAAGATCCAGTGAGCTATGATGGCATCACTGCACTCCAGCCTGGTGACAGAGCAAGACCTCGTCCCTTTAAAAATACAAAGAGAGGCCGGGTGTGCTGGCTCATGCCTGTAATCCCAGCACTTTGGGAGGCCAAGGCAGATGGATCATTTGAGGTCGAGAGTTTGAAACCAGCCTGGCCAACATGGTGAAACCCTATCTCTACTAAAAATACCAAAAATTAGCTGGGGGTGGTGGTGCTCACCTGCAGTCCCAGCTCCTCGGGAAGCTGAGGCTCAAGAATCACTTGAACCTGGGAGGTAGAGCTCGCAGTGAGTTGAGATCACATTACTGCACTCCAGCCTGGGCGACAGAGCAAGACTCCTTCTCAAAATAAATAAATATATATGTAAATAAATAAACTACAAAGAGACAAACTAAAAAACCATCCTGGGCGCCTGCTGGGTCCCAGGCTTGCAGCCTAGTGGTAAATGCCACCAAGTCCTGCCCTGGAGTTGCTGATGTCACCCAGACAAAATCACAATATCATGTCAGTTAGAGATAACTGCTGTGACAGGATATAACTCAGAGTGAGGGGGAGAGAGGGACAGGAGGAAGCTGGATAAGGAGGTGACGCTGCAGCAGTGACCCAATGAAGGGAGAGGGCCAGCCAGGTGCATAAAGAGTGTGGGAGCAGGCCAGGCGCGGTGGCTCACGCCTGTAATACCAGCACGTTGGGAGGCCGAGGCAGGCAGATCATGAGGTC